CTAATCAGACAATGCTTCTAGCCCTCTCCAGAATTTTTCCTTGTAAGAGTTTTTTTTAATATTTTAACAACTAAATTATATGTTAGTGTTTCCGATTTTTCTCTTCCATATGGTTAAATTAATAAAATTCCTTCGTCTGGCTTATCTCTCTACTTGTGATAAGATATAAATCAGATAATTACCAACCTGGGGCAGTTTTAGAAGTCTGTCTTGTTCCACAGAGAAGCAAAACCTTCCCTTGGTTGTCTGCCCACACTGGGAAGAGCCCTCAGAAAAGAAGCAAAAAGCGGACATCCAAGAGCTCTATTCCAGTAATCAACATCTGATGTCTATCTGATTTAGTATTTTTGGAACCTGCTCTCTTATACTTGATTCTGATACAATAGCATGGTTTTATTGTATGGATAAACTTTTCCCATTGTTCTCTTGGGCTCCAATTAAAATCTTGGATTATAAAGCACAGGTTTTTAGGGCTGCAATATGTATATAGTTTTATATAATATTTATGTAACTAAATATATAACTAAATATTCCTTTTGTAGCTAAAATAATGGATCCTGGAACGACCAAGGCTTCATCAAGGCCAGGCTGGGAAAAAAAATCAGCTGTCCTTACTGTCAGGGAAATATTCCTTTCATTGCACATTTTTGCTTGTTTCTTACATATTTACAAATACTTCTTTTTGTGCCCATATTCTTTTTTTTTTTTTGCGGTACACGGGCCTCTCACTGTTGTGAGAACCCGTGTCCCCTGCATCAGCAGGCGGACTCTCAACCACTGCGTCACCAGGGAAGCCCTGTGCCCATATTCTTGACTGGTCTAGATTTCTTATTTCATATTTATAGTCTCAGACATAGTTTTCATGGCCTGGTTTGCCTGACACAGATGTCAGGTCAGGTACTTAACTATCAAACTTTTTTTTTTTCCTTGTTCATTAAAGTTTGTACCAAAAAAACTCAAAACAAAACAAAAAAACCCCTCACTGCACTTCTCATCAGAATTCATATTAGTGGCCCTTATATGCACAATCTCTCTCTCTCTCTCTCTCCATCAAACAATAGATAACTCTGATTGTAATATTTTGCTTAGGGGACTTACTCTGTCCCACTGTTTCATCTGGATACTTGCCTCCTAGACACTAGTTCTTGATCTACTTGATTTCATCTGTCACTTGGTCATTCACAGGTTGCTGATTATGCAGTAGATAAATCACAAGAGATTTTGTCAAATGATAGACTGTGTTAATGAATTGTATGCAAGGATAGGGTTGCCAGACGAAATATATAATGCTCAGTTAAATTTGGTTTTCAGATAAACATACTAAAAATAATTCATTGCTTATCCAAAATTTAAATACAACTGGGCATCCTGTATTTTTATTTGCTAAATCTGGTAACTTTATGAAGAGAGCACGCTTTATTAAGAATTTTTATCACAATATAATCACACTACATAATTTTTCTTTATTCTTCCCTAATCTTCATTGTATCCAATTTTGTGTAATTCTATTAGATTTAGTTCCTATCTAATTTTTCCCATTCTGTTTGTATGCTTACCATTGCATAAATAACTCCAAGGACTGTAGCTGTGGAAAAAAAAATATCCTGTTGATCTAAGTTCTTTGACTAAGCACTCTCCTGTGTGTTTATGGCCTAGCATAGAATTAATTATTTAAGTGCTGGATATCTTATCACCCTGTGTTTTAGCCCTGTATCACTTAGAGTCCCATAAAACAACCAAATCAGTAAATGAAGATAATTTTAATAAAAAGATTTTTCATAGACATGTGGACAGGGTTAAGAGACCCAAGAAGAATGGCAAAGCCCCAGAGACTAACTATGATTAATATTTGTTAACACCACTATGCCTGAAGAGGATGGTGTGGCCAGAATCCAGCAAAAGCTATAGCCCTGGGAGAGAAGCCACCCTAAAGAAGCAGTGCTGATGGTTGGGGAAAGTATCTAGTGTTCAAACGAGGAGCTGGCAGTAAAAGCATTGAGGGAACAACTACCCTGACCTCCCTCTTCTGCTCTTAGGACAATTGGGTCTACCATTATTCAATCCCATCTAGAAACCAGAGAGGAAAGGAGCCCAAATGAGGAACTTCATGGAGGTCAATACCAAGGAGCTAGAAAGTGAATCTGAAGAATAACTGGCTCAGAACATGAAGGAAAGATTTTCAACAATTTAAATATTTAAATCTATCCATAAAAAGCATAGGAAAACCTTTTTTAAAAAATATTAAACATTGGATTCCAGATGTAAAATGAATAGTGTTACTTTTTATTAAATAGTGAGCTCCTTAGACATTATGTTAAGGGCTTTTCCACAAATAGATTTTGTTCATAAATGTAGAATTATTGGTTGCAGAACTTACTCTTTTAAAAGATGTTCTGAATGATAATAACCAATGTGCTCTGAGGGAGGAATAGAAATTAGTAGCTTCAGATATTGTTGGTGGAAGTGTATTTTGTACAATTTTTGTAAAGAACAATTTGGCATATTCTATCAAACATTTAAATGTGTCTAGATCTATAATCTGAAAGTTAATGTGCAGGAATTTGTATTAAGAAAATTATCAGACAATTGTATATGGTTCATATAGATAGTGTATTTATGAGAATATTCATTCATGGTCAGAAAACTTACAATCAAATTGAATATGTTAATAGATTATTTAAATAAATAAATTATGATACACCTATAAAATACTATGCCATCAAAGTGCTTTTGGTTTTATTATTATAGATGTGCACTATATAATTTTATATATAACTATATAATATAATTTTAATTTAAAAAATTACAAAGTAGAATATAGAATATGATCCCACTTACATATTGTCTTTTCCTGAATGTCACAGAAATGGAATCATAGCAAATGTAGCCTTTTATATTCATTTGCTTTCACTTAGCACAATGTTTTTGAGATTTAGTTATATTTTCACATGGTTAATTAGTTTATTGCCTTTTATTGCTGAATAATATTTCATTGTATGGCTGTAACACAACTTGTTTACTCTTTCAATAGCGGATGGACATTGGGTTGTTTCCAGTTTGAGGTTATTATAAATAAAGCTGCTATACACAGTCATTTACAGATTATTTTGTAGGAGAGTATTTTATTTCTCTTGGGTAAATACCTAGGAGCAGAATGTCTGGATCTTATGGTAAGTGTATATTTAACTTTAAATAAAAAACTTCAAAACTCTTTTCAGAGTAGATGTTCCATTTTGCATTCCCATCAGCAATATATGAGAGTTACAGTTTATTTCTGAGTGTTTTACACAAAACATTGATTACTTTTATCATCATCAGATAATACAAGAGAACTATTTCTATTTAGTTGATGAAATATTTCTATAGGAAGAAAAAACTGTGGGGACTCAAGTTGAGAGTAAACATATAAAGGCCATTAACAATGTGTGTTGTCTATGCTAAAATAAAATAATATATCAACAAATAAAGACAATATTAGGGCAATTTTTACATCTTAAATTAACAATAATTATTTTATTAGGTTTTTTTTTTTAATTCACCAAACCTCAATAGTTTATGTCTGATACTCAATCCACTACTATATCAAGGAGACACTTAGAAATGTATCTTACTGTAGATAATAAACATTGTAAAAAGCTTTTTCCCCTGATTCTGGTTCTTCACTCAGGATTTAATGCCTTTTTGATTGTGAGATGACTCCATTGTTTATTTGTCTTCCTAGTTCTCTTTCTTTCAGCACGAGACAGCACAGTAAAACTTGAGAATATTTTTCTCTTATCTTTTGTCTTCTTTCCTAAACTTTTATTATTAAAATCTACACTGATTTATTGCCATCTGCTCTATTTCCATTTCCCATTTCAGATTCTATTTTTTCTTTTGCTAATCAGTTCCCACAAAAAATGACTCAAAATTCTCACACACTGGAAGTGGAATTTGTTTACTAGAAATTTGCAGTTAAATATTGTTCTGCTTTTCCATGACTTACCAGGGTACCAGGGTACATCTAATTTCAAAGAGGCAAGAGAGATGTAAATTGTGCAGGACTGATTTATTTTATTCTCACTAAGTTATTTATTCAAGGATTTTGTTTTTCTCTGTACTGTTGTCACTAAATAATTGTTGATTTGCTCATCTTATATTTTGAGAAGATATGCAAAGTATTTTTTTAAGAAAGGACTATGCCCTGATTACTTCAATCTGAAATGGTTTCAACTCTCAGATCTGTGTCTTACTCTACCATTTACTAGATGTTGCTTTGAAATTTATCACGGTCCTCTCAAAGGAATTTTGAAAGGCCACTCTGTGCATGCCTTTGCCTCCAAGCAGTGTCACTCCTAATTACAGGAGGCAGTGTGGCAAGAATCATTTGTTAGGGACAGATGAAACCATGACGTATAACCAACCTATAACTTGCCCTCATCATCAATTGAGCACTAGTTGCATAAATTACTTTTACTGAGTTCAGTATACATTTTATTAGTGCTGTTCCCCTTCTATTGCTCAGAATGCATATTGCTAACCTATTAAGTAAAATCACTTATAGATGTAAATTTTTATGACTTTTTAAATGTTATTGTATGGCTTGTTAATTGTTAAAGTGGTAAATAGCTCCTAGAAGCTCATAGGTAGTAAATTATATTTTGTAGCCCTTAGCATTTAAAGAAAGAATTTATAAGATATTTGTCAAGCTAAGAGTTTTGTAAACTTGCTGCTTTTTAAAAAAAATGTATTTATATTTTATTTATTTTTATTTTTGGCTGCACTGGGTCTTTGTTGCTGTGTGCAGACTTTCTCTAGTTGCAGCAAGCGGGGGCTACTCTTTATTGTGGTGTGTGGGCCCCTCATTGCAGTGACTTCCCTTGTTGCGGAGCACAGGCTCTAGGCGCGTGGGCTTCAGTAGTTGTGGCACACGGGCTTAGTTGCTCCACAGCATGTGGGATCTTCCCAGACCAGGGCTTGAACCCATGTTCTCTGCATTGGCAGGTGGATTCTTAACCTTTGTGCCACCAGGGAGGTCCAAACTTGCTGCTTTTAATATATAACTGTACAAAAGAAATTTGGGTAATTAGAAGATAATACCAATGCCACATTAAATGGTCACTGTCACAGAATAACAAACATCTTCTTTCTAGTAGATTAGGAAAGAAAAATATTATGAAATAGAAGGATTATGAATTTTAGCTACTGCTACAAACTGAAAATATAGCTTTCTAGGTCATTATACCAAATCTATGCTCCTCTGTAGAGGGCTGCTTACAATTCCCATTTATTTAAATATTTATTGTAGATACGTGCAGTGATTTTTTTTTTTTTTTTTTTTTGGCCGCACCATGCAGCTTGTGGGATCTTAGTTCCCTGACCAGGGATTGAACCCAGGCTCTTAGCAGTGAAAGCACAGGGTCCTAACCACTGGAGCACCAGAGAATTCCCAAGCAGTGATATTTTTGAGCTATTTTGTCTCTTACTACTGCATGTATTACTCATGACATAGTAGCCACAGTACCATAATTATAGAATGAATGAAATCAAAGCTCATAGCAGTTTTTGATATTGAATTCCCTGGTCATCATTGAAGGGTTGCCATTAGATTTAACTCTAGATCCTTTTAAAATATGACTATCTAGTTTCCAACTATTGACTTACATTCATGAGAGCAGAGGCCCAAGTCATGTGTTTTTTTAAAAAGTGACCCAGATTGACATGACATGTCCACTACATTAAGAATCTTTTTATCCTTCTAGTTTATAATTTATAACTAGGAAAACCAATATCCCGAATTTTAAAGAATTTACTCAGTGTCAAAGAGCTAGTAAGAACTAAAATTAAAATCAAAAGTATGTTGACTTCCTGTTATACCCATGAGGTAAAGGACAGGCAGAGCAGTCTCCAATCAAAGCCATAATAGTACAGGCAGAGTGAGCATCAGCCTTTTCCCAATCCACAGATCCTTCCAGGCAGTGATGTTAATGAATAGAACTGGCAAGATAACACTCATATGGAAATACATGTATTAGATTGCTAGGGCTTCAGTAACGAAGTACCACAAACCGGGTGGTTGAAATAACAGAACTTTATTGACTCACAGTTCTAGAGGCTAGAAATTCAAAATCCAGGTGTTGGCAGTGTCGGTTTCTTCTGATGACTGTGAGGGAGAATCTGTTCCATGTCTCTCTTGTAGCTCATCGTGGTTTGCTGACCATCTTTGATGTTCCTTGGCTTTAGATGCTTTATGCCAATTTCCGTCTTCATGTTCACATGGCATTCTCCCTTGTATGCTTGTCTGTTTCTGTGTCCAAATTTCCCCTTTTTATAAGAACACCATTCATATTGAATTAGGGCCCACCCTAATGACCTCATTTAACTTATTTTAAATATCCTATTTCCAAATAAGGTCATATTCTGAGTTACTGGGTTAGAGCTTCAACATGTCTTTTATGAGGGTCATAATTCAATACACAATTGTCTTCACAGAGACCAGAAGAGAAGGAGCAGCTCAGCAGACTAAGAAGCTCTCTCCTAAACACAGGATCACCCTTTACAGTAAGTTCAAATTATTTACCTTCATAACATGATCCTTTCTCTGAGGTACACAGCCCTTGAAAACTTCACCTTAGCTCTTTCCCAAAGAGGGACTGTTGAGAATCCTGTAGTTCCTCCTCTAATTATTGTTTATTTAATTTGTGCTTAAAAAATAATATCATTAGTGTAATGCGGAAGTTTAATTACTTGGGTAATGAGTAGTCCAACTTGAAAGAAACTTTCAAACTTCATCCATAAAATAACTAATATGGGCTTTTCTCCCTTATTTGTGTGGTTGTTTTCTAGTTAATTTTCATTCTCCATGAAGTCTATACACTCTCTACAGTTTTGTCCATAATCCATTAATTTAATCCATTGTGTTTACAAGTTAACACTTACACCTAACACTTATGCCTCTCACTTTTACTGTATAATAGTCTTGCTTTCTGAACACATTGCCTTTCTATTAAACACACATTACTGCTTTCACCTTGTAGAGTAGAAATTTTTCCTTCTCTTCATCTAGAAATATTGTCTCTCTTCTTGGAATTGCTTTTCTCCCAGCTCCACATATTTGGTTCCCCTAAAGAATACTGTGTTCTCACTTGATTCTACTCAAGAAAACCACAAAGGATTGGCCCAGGATTTTTCATCTAGATTAACTGGAGTCCTACCCCAGGACTTTTGAACTTGACACTAAATATTCTGTCATTTAGTGTTTCTCCACTAACAAAAATTATATCAACATCTATCAGTGGCAGTGTTTTTCCCAATATTATTTAGGAAGTTCCGCTGATAATAGTAGAAAATTAAACTCAAAGGATTTAAATAACAATAAAATTCACTGTTGTAACACAGTGCAGCTCTAAGGTATGTTAACGCAGCAACTCAATGATCTTTTCACAATTGTTTCCATTCTATTACCCTTGAGGTTGCCTGCAGCTTTGGGCTTGCCATAAAATGGTTGTACCAGTTCAGTGCATCTTACTCAGAAACTATGCTATTCAGAAACAGAAAGAAATCATTTCCTCCATTGTGTTTAATTTTAAAGACAAGGAAAATTTTTAGAACCACCCAGCCAATTTTTATCACATTGTCTAAACTAATCACTGTCAAGGGAATTAATACCAACATAGTTGGCTTAAGGCCAATCAGGATTAATTTTCTAAGGCTGAGAATAGAGCAGTTTCTCCTGATGTTCATGGCCATGCAAAAGAGAACATATACTTCATCAAACTGGGATTGTTAACAAGGAAAAAAAGAATAAATGTTGGGTAGATTGTGAAAATTCTATGTTAACCCTTCAATATAGAGAAAACATACATGTGTTGAAACAATGCAGCCATCACAGAAAGACAATGACCTGGCAGTTTTGAGGACCCTCCTTTCCAATTTACCCTGAAGTCCATTTGCATTTCTTTTTATTCTACAAAAAGTTTGATGTTGTTGTTGTTTATACTTTATTGGATTCCCTGAATATAGAAATGCTTCTTTTTGCCTTTAAAATAGGATTTCTGTCACTTGTAACAAAACTAATATACTTTACCATATTGTAACTTTATCGATGTGATATTTGTATTTGTCATTTTTTTCATGGCTGGAAATTTTCTTCCCAATTTTATTAGAAGTAAGGCTTTACACCTTCTACCAATTTACTTACACCCAAAGAAGTCCATATATGCCTTGAAATTTGCTGATCATTTCATCAGACTATCTCATGAACATGTTTCTATTTCTACTATAAAACTAATGTGGATTTTTTAAATCATTTTCAAGTGTGATAATCTTACCAATTCTAATTGCCTGTTTTGATTATTTATGAGTTTAGAAAAGCTGTTGGTAAGTCATGTGAGAATCATCATCTTTGATCCAAAAAAGAACATGACCTAAATAACCACACCCTCTACTGAATATTTTCATTTCATTCTTAACTTGCTGTATTATACAATTCACAGTTTTACATTTTCAATGTTATTAAGTCATTATCAAAATACAGCACTTCTACTTTATTATTATTATAAATGGAATGAATTTGACCATATAAACTGTAAGTGTTAAGCTGTTAATGGTCTCCCATGGGTCTCATTTCTTACCTGTGAACCTTCAGTGATTTGCTTGGGGTTTAGGTGAAGCAAATTTTGCAAATTATGCTTATAAGCATGAAAGTTTTCCTATGATCTTCTCTATGTCTACCCTAGAGTTGTGTTATTTAAAGGCAGGGAAACTTCTTAGATGAACAATTGTTTTGACCCTTCTTTGCCATGTGACTTTCATTTGATTTTTTTTTTTTTTTTATGAATTCACCTTATGCTGCTGATTACAATTCTAGAGAAAATGATAGGAAAGACAAAGTTCATTATCAGTGCCTACCGGGGATATATACCTGCCCTGTCCCTTCCTACTCGTTTTAGCATGCAAACCATTTACCCTATTTCTTTAACCAGACTGCTCTGCTGACCTTTGGCCCTACCTTCCATTAGGGCTCTAGACACTTTCATACTGAAACCTACCAAAATACACGTTGCAAACTGTTTAAGATAAAAGGCTTATTTTTTGACTTTTTAACTGAGACTTCTATTAAAAAGTCCTCATATTTAAGTCAGAGAAGAGGTGGAGAGTGGCCTAATGATACTTAACAGTATAAGGATTTTGGATCAGAGAAGTTCTTGTTGATGATTGATTTATAATATTAATTTGTTATATAAACTTTAAAAATAAAATAAGGCTTAATGGCTAAATGAACAATACCTATTTGAAGTAAATACATAAATAAGCCATCTTGACTTATTAGAAAAAAAGTCAAAGAAATAAACTGACAATCATCACAGGAAATTTAATTAATTGTAACGCTCAGATGAGGCAGAAATTTCGGAGTTAAAGTATCATTACGGTAGCTTCTCTTAGGCCAGAGGTCTGTAAACTATAGCCCACTGATCAAATCTGACCCAACACCCATTGTATTTATTAAAATACAGCCATTCCATCCATTTACATATTGTCTACAGCTACTCCCTTGTTACAGTGGCAGAGTTAAGTTGCTACTGTGACCATATGACCCACAAAGTCTAAAATATTTACTATCTAACCCTTTACAGAAAATGTTTAATGATCCCTGTCATAGGTAAACCTCTATCAGACTCAAAATATTGTAGAACTATTGAGCTGGTATGAAGGCATAATTTGAATAAACATATGTTATAGGATGAATTGGGAGCCATCCTTAAAGGAATACAACCAGCAAAAGCTTGGTTTGTCAACAAGAGGAGGCTGTGGACTATGTCATACATTATTTGACCTCAGTGAAATTTAGAAAGCCATACAGTCCTCCATAGCTTTATTTCCTTGATCAAGCTAGGGCAAGTAGTGTACAGACTAACATGGTAAACATAAAATTTCTCTTTCCATTTATTGATGATGCCACAAAAGCCACAGCTATCTGAAGTTGCACTATTCTTGAGGGCAGATGCTTGTTGCTACAATGACTATGGTCTGTGTTTGCAAAGTAAAAAGAGTATCGTTGGAG